TCACCTTGCTGATCTTTTTTTTTTTTTTTTAATTGAATGGTAACTATGTACATTAATGCACTTCTGGGGTACAGTGTGGGGTTTTCACATGCCATCTGAAATATTTCCATCAAACTGGTCAACACAGCCTTCATGTCATTTTCTCAGTACCTTGCTGATCTTCACCATGTCCAGTTCCTTCTGTAGGCGGGCAAGTGTGGCATCATCATGGCCTCCTGCACATTTGGTAACTGTGCACCACTTCTGACTGCTAGGGTCATAGCAGCCCATGAGGAAGATTGACATCATGCCACCTGGGAGGGGAGTACAGGCGGAGGGTAGGCTGGAGAGAGCCATCTCTGCCAGCCTCAAGAGCCCAGGGAGTGGCAGCCTGATGAAGAGGAAAGGGCCGGGGTCTCGGTGTCACAGTGCCATTGTTCATCACTTAGATGTGCCTCTCACTAGCTGGGTAATTTTAGCTTTATAAGCCCCAGTTTCCTTGTCAGCAAATTAAGGATAATCACACCCAACTTTTTGAGCTCTGGGGAAGTGAACAGTGCCCAGCACATAGCAGACTGCCTAAAAGTATTAGTTTCTCAGAGCCCAGTGAGGCCCCAAAAGAGTAATTGATGGTGAGCTTCCTTCTGTCTAGCTAGCACAGAGTATTCTTGCCTGACTTCTCCCTGCCTGTCTAGCTCTCATATGTCCCTGCCTGCAGTATCTCAGGTCAGCTTGGGGCTCCAGATCCCAAGGTTTCACAAGTTATGACTGGTCATGCTGGCAGATCAAGCCAATGATACCACTGTATCTCAAGTGGCACCTTCCAAAAGAGTATTACCCCAGGGGCAGAGAGCATCCTGACCTTTGTTTCCCTGCCCATAGAAGGCCCCAAGGACCACCAGGTCAGCTGTGTCAGCCATGGCCCCCTCATTCAAATAGTCTTTCTTCACTTTCAGCCAGTGCCGCTTCCCAGGTTCATATGTACTCTAAGGAGAGGCAAGAGAGACCACTAAGCAGAATGAAAGCTCCCATGAGGATGGGACTTGCCCTATCACTACCATACACCAGGTTTATCACGGTGCCCAGCCCACTCTGGGGATACAGAATGCGTACACCAATCCATCCTCCACATCCGGAACAGACCTGTCCAAACCCTGGAAGGCTCCCTCAGCACCTGCCTCCAACCCCTCACACTGCCACCTCGGGTTCCTGGCTAGGGCTGAAAAGGCTCAGGGGAGAGGGTTTAAGGTCTCCAGGAGAAAACAAGGTATAGCCACCTTACCTTCACATCCTTCAGCACCAGCCCTTCCAATCCCTCCCGGATGACTCGGTTTATCATGTCCACCAAGTCTGAAGCTTTCTGAGGAACAAGAGGAGAGATACTGACGTGTGTGTGTGAGAACAGAAAGTGGCGTGGGAGTAAGGTGGGGGTTGTCCCTTTTCACACTGGTCAAGTGCCCACTAAAAGCACTCTTAACCTGAATGTAAGAAATGAAAGGTTATAAAGTAGAGAACCTCTCATCCCAGCCAGAGACCTGTGTGAAACACAGGGTACTCACCTAAGAGGGATTTTCATACATGTAGAGAACACATACAGCGGTCAGAGGCAAAAACAGCAGCCCTCCGTAATACAACAGAATTAAGACTCATCCTCCCAGTCATGCTCAGCTCAGGGGTTCCATACCCTGCCTTCAAACCACTAGGGTGCTGCCTGGGGTAAGGTCTCCATTTACCGTGACTTGCTTCATTTCTGAGAACATGATCCGGTTTGGAATTTCAATCATGTTGTCATGAAGAAACTTTCGCCGTTCACACAGAGGCCTAAGGGAATAGGAAAGCTGAGATTAGGCCGGGATCCTCCTACCTCTATTAGAAATTCTGAGGGAAGGGGCACAGTGGTAATAACTGCGGTTTCCAGAGAGGGTGTGCTATGGATTAAAGCTCTCATATGTAACAGCTATGCTGTTAAGGGCTGCAAGGGCTCCTTTGTGACTGAAGATGGACAACTGTGAGCCATGGCACAAAGCCAGTTCATAGCTGTAGTTCCTATGTCTACTATATCAAGCCAAAGGAGAACCAGCCTCTAGCCCAGATTATATAAATTCTGGTCCCACTTGAAAAATAATTCCAACTCATTTTTTATCCCATATACTCTGTTTTGCTTCAGCTCCAAGGCTAGCTGTTCTTTGGGTCAGCAGGCTGAGACAGGCCTCAGGACCTCCTACCTTACCAGTTCTTTTTCTCTTCTGCTTTCTTCCGGCCTCCCCACCCCATAAGAGTCCCATTCTAGAGCCCAGGCTAGAGTGTCATGGCCTCAGCCCAGCTGACAGCAACCTCAAACTCTGGGTTTAAGAGATCCTCCTGCCTCAGCCTCCCGACGGTCTACAGGTGCCCACCACAACGCTCACTAATTTTTCTATTTTTAGTAGAGACAGGGTGTCATTCTTGCTCTCAAACTCCTGAGCTCAAGGGATCCTCCCACCTCAGCCTCCCAGAGTGCTAGGATTACAGGTGTGAGCCACCACACCTGGCCTGCTTTCTTCCCCTTCCACAAGCAAGGATGTGGCTGCTGTAGGAAAAATAGGTGTAGGGGAGACATTTTTAAGTGTGGAAAGGGCCAATACTGGTTTCTTGGGCCCATGCATATGGATGAAGCCAAGTTGACTGGTAGTTCTCCCCACATGGTCTCACCCATAGCTCCCCTAGAATAAGAACCCTCCTATTGTCAGTCTCTTCTGAAATCAAAACCTTCAAGCTGAAACTATTTGCCTTATGGCTCCAGGAGTGCTACTGGAGAAACAGAGGGAAATCCCACAGAGCTCAGTCTCTCTGCAACAGTCCAATTTGCTTTAGTAGAGAAACTATTTTATTTAATTTCCCCCCTGCCCTCAATTACTAGATCACTAGGGATGCTTCAGTAGAGAAGGGGGTTTGGGTCAGAGATGAGATGGAGTCAACATATAAGCTTTTCCTTACATAAATGGGTAGCAATTGTGCTACCTCTCAACACCTTCCTGCATTGCCCCTGACAAGCTCCTAGGCACAAAGGCACATGTGGCAGCCTGTTCCCCTCCTTCTTTCCCAACCTGACATCCCCTCCACCCCACAACCGTACATCTCCCCATCCAGGATAGGAAGATAGATTTCTGAAAGTTGCTGGGTTTAAAGATGGTACCAATTCACCTGTCCATCAAGCTGACATCATTGAAGTAGATACAATCAAAAACAAATAGGCAGACATTAGCGTCTTGGAAGGCAGCTTTCTGTAAGGGAAAATAAGGTATTAGGTACATAAGGAACAAAAGTCAGAGGGCATGAACAAATGATCCACTTTTGGAGGCACTGTGAAGCACCTGATGATAACGTCCTACTTGTGCTCTGAAGCTTGTGAACCATAAGAGCAACTCAGCAGATGGTGCTAGATGGAAACCAACTCAATTATAAGTTGTTTCCCAATACCAGCTCCTTTTTATGCAAAAAGGAAAAAAAAATCAGAAGCAAAGAACAGCCCTACCCCACATGATATATTCTACTCTTCAGACTGCACCGCACATGTGCACACATGCACACACACACATTCATTCTTGCACACATGGCGCTGAGCCAGTACCTTGTGTACTCCCAGAGTCCCAAAGGGCAGTGGTTTGCCTGTTTTGTTGTCAATCAGGAGCACCTCAGAGTCCAAGATCATGCTGTGACCCCCAGGAAATGCCTGTGGGATGTAGTCCTTAAAGTGGGCCACCTAAAAGCAGAAATGTAGCTTTGACGAGGGACAAATTGGCAGCTGGGACCTACAGCCAACCCACAGAGAGTAAAGCCTAAGCCCAGAAGGAACACAGAACAACATGGAGAAGCTCATGTGCATAACACACAGCCAGACCTTGCTGGCCACCTACACAAGAGGAATAGAATAGGCTATGTCTTTTAGTACTTATGTCCAGGTCAGAGGTCACCTGAGGTCAGCCCATGTTGAGTCACTTTCCATTGGCTATAGAGAAGACAATTTTAGAGGAAAAAAGAAACAGTAAACATGTGCAGGAAGGAGGTGGAGGTGAGGGAGGGAAAGGTGAGTGGGTAGAGATTAGTGTTTACTGCAGATGGGTAGATATTAGGCTGGGGGTTGGATTGGGAGAGAAAAGACTGGTTGGAAAGAAGATAGGAAGATGGAAACAAAACCCCTCAGGAACAGCGAGGGAACACAAGCATTGTCTTCTCTGAGTGGAAGCTCTGAACACACAGCCATCTTCAGAGTAAGACAGGTTTGGGTCTTGGCACCTGTGGCTCAAGCGGCTAAGGCGCCAGCCACATACACCTAAGGTGGCGGGTTCGAATCCCCAGCCCGGGCCCGCCAAACAACAATGATGG